CCTTTCGATCCATCAGTGGCTTCGCTCTGCCATCCGTGATTCACAACAACCAACCTTTCCTATAGGTTTCCTATTTTTGAAACTTCCGCCACCGCCTTGTGCGGTACTACTGGTATCGAGTTGGTGAACTATATCCTTGGTCTTTTATTATAATTAGAACCTATGATATCCACAAATATCATTGCTTTGAGGATTTTATCCTATGTTATATGAAAGGTAGCAACCCCGTTCAATAAATAGAATAGTTGGTTTCACCTGAACATATGAGCTAAATGAATCATCTTTAGCATCCTGGAAACACGCCTTGGTGAACCTTGGTGGCTCATGCCAGGGATCGTAAGTGGATTATAAGCCAAATTATAAGTGGACTAACCCTCACCCAGTTATAACCAGGGTTTTTTCACCGACTAAAAGTGGGATGAACCACCAAGTTTCATGTGGGTAAAACAATGCCATACATAAACCAGCCATGACTGGGAATGGTTTGTACAAACCACCTATATATAAAAATGGTGATGACTGAGGGATGGTTTATGAACTTGTTTTACCCACCAAGTATAGTTAGGATCCCCATATGAGTCATCCCCTTGATGGTGCCTCGAGGTTCTCCAAGTGTGATGGACATCTCTTCTTCACCGACATGGACAGTCCTGGACCTGAGGCGTGGGCGCACATGGCTGCAGAAACAAGTTTTGTTTTGGAGATATCCTCTGGTAATTTAACATAGCTATTGAATATGGCCATTTATAGTGGATTTACCCATTGAAAAATGGTGATTTTCCATAGTTATGTTAGTTTACCAGAGGGTACCCCCCCTGAAATTAAGAAGGAACCCAACAAAAGGACACATCCGAGTGATGTTGCAGCATCTTTGGTACCCCCTTGTTTAGCCAGTATATCTGTATAATTCTGTATATTATACGTATGTCTACATGGATTAAAACATGTCATGTTTCTTACAAAGACCAAAAAACATGGGCCCAAAATACCAGTTATAAGTCATGTGTATATCTATCTATCTATATATATATATATATCACCCCATTTATGGAATAATAACCACCTTGGCAACCATGTAAAAAACCATTAATAGAGATGATTAAACATATCTGTCAGTTTGTCATGAACCATAGTAAACCTAGTTTTCCAGCCATAAATTTAAAACATCACTTAGTTACCATAGCAATCCTAGCTTCAAACCATCAGTTGCCATTTTTCAAATCGTGGCCCCATTCTGTTGACCCAAACTTCTCCATGATCTTCCGCAGGAGCCAGACTTCGTTCGCGTGGCTTTGCCTGCGCAGAAGGTGACCAGGGATCAAGGTGGTTGGCTCTATCACAGGCGCGTTCTGTGGGCGAATTGAGTGGCTGCGAAAACAACCCCTGGCAGGGTTGATGATGAATGGTTTTTTATGTGGTTAAATAATAAACCACATATTTTTTGGGAATGGTAAACGTACCACCTATTTAGGGTGATTTGGCGGATAGTTTATTGTTGTTTTACCCACATTAGGGGATTATACCAAGAACCAAGATATGGGGATAATGGGGTCATAAATGGCCCCCAAGAAGATGGGGTATAACGGTATAACTGTTCCTGTTACTTTCAATGGTCATCATATGTCTTAATAACCAAGATGATGACCCCATCGACCCCAACATATTGGGGATTATTTCATAGAACGGTGGAATTCCTATTCACCAACCAGGACTAAATGGAATGACAGAGGGATTTTGAACACTGCTCGGAGGTTTCCCAAGTCATGGAGGGGTACCCCTAGTTTTCCATTTATAGATTGATTTTTCAAGAAATTTGATGCATCTGTTTTGGGTAGCCTTATCAGGAAACCTCCAATTGCTGTGGATGTGCTGCAGATTGCCCTATGATGGGCTTCAGCTTGGGTGGAAATCTGACTTAATTGGTGGGAAATCTTTGGGCTTTCATGTCATTGGATATGATGGGATACAACCCCCTAGGCACGGCGCAAGTTTGTTGTTGGGGAGACTTAAGCATCACAAATGGTGGTAAATCATATCTATGATAGCTACGTTGGGTTTATAATATAAGTTTATAATTGGAATACAGTTGGATATAAGCGATGATAAACGTATATAACATGATTTCATATATTATCATTTTATCAACAATTATAGCTATCATATAATATAGCTACTTTGAATATAAGCTTGGATATAACATGATTTCACAACTCTGGATGCTAAGCGCTTGGCCGTCATGTCGCGATGCATGGACGCGTCGGAAGTTGAAACTTTCCTTGGGCCGCGACAGAATTCGCAGGAAAGAACTGACCCATATGCTCCATGTATGGTATATTTACCTACATTTGGGTGATTTTTAGGGTAAATGTTGGTAAATATTCCAGCACCATGGAGCATTTGGGAATGGTTTTTTACCGCAAATTTCAACCTCCAAAGAATCCTCTACGGCGACCAGTGAAAGACAAACGGCTCATGTCGATTTTTGTTCATTGGGCAAGTGAGACGTGAGCGAGCTTGCCTGCGACGGTAGTTGCTCCGGGAATACCGTAGCTCATGTAGCCATAGCTGGGTTTTTAACTGGGGAATACAATAGGAACATCATCGGATACATTGGATACAATCTCTGGTTGGTGGTTTCAAACATGACTGGATTATTTTCCATTTCATAAACGGATGTCATCCTTCCCGTTGACGAACTCCATCATTTTTCAGAGGGGTAGGCATACCACCAACCAGATATAGATATATATATATATAATATGTTTTAATCCCATCATATAACCATATATAACCACTATTATTGGTATTATTGGTATTACAACCACTATTATTGGTATAATCACACCAGCCACACATTTTTCGCAGATGTGATGGGATTGAACCAACGCAACACAGCACGAGCAGCAACACATCCGTAACGGTGTTGTTGCGGTGCTCCTTAGAGGATCACACAACGGATCTGATTGTTAACCAGGTACTATTGGTGGGATGATCCGCCGGTGATTCACAAAAAAAGATACCATCTAGGTTTTGCAAGACATCAGAAAGGTCTAATTTTGGATGATTGGGATTTAATGGGATTTAATGGGATTTACCATCTGGTTATGACTAACATAACCGACATAGCCATGGAAAGATCCTCCATGCTATTAATAGGTAAACCATCTTTTTCTATGGGCCATCTATACCATGGCAAACTGTTAAAAAAACGGATGGTATAACTATAAGCAACATGCTACGGCATGCACATCACGTTTTTTTTTAATGGAGCATCAAACACTATGACTGACTATAGTTATCGATTAAAAAACATGGAGTAACATGTTGCAAGCATCAAGGGGGCATCAAAAATGGCAGTTGTCTCTTTAGATATGGTCAAACATATCGACAAAATTGCCGCAGGTATTGCGAAGTATTGAGGTTTAAGAATCCAGTTGAAGGGATGCCCAACTGTTGACCTACACCTCAAAAAATGATGGATGAGATAGTGCTGATGTTGATAGAGCTCTACTGACATGTTATTTGACGTTCCATCTGACATATTTTCTGACATTGAAATACTACCTGCCATTTTTCTGGCATTCTATCCAACATTTTATCTGGCAGTCTGTTCGACGTTTTACCTCACATAGACATTATGCTACTTGACATTTTATCTGACATATTTTCTGATTTTGCATTTGGCATGCTATCCTAATATATTCTGACACTCTACCTGGCATTCATCATCTGGCGCTTCGGGCCTACAATGGCCCAGTGAGCTGGCAAGCTCACCATGGTGACCGTCACCAGCTGGGGAATGGCTATGGAATGGAATGGAATGGCTATTGTATTGTTAAGTTCTTAAGTTCACAACGACATCAGTTGTAAATTTGTTTCACTAAGTAATAGATTCTACAACTGAATCATTATCTTCATGAGTTCCTTGGAATCTTCAGTTTTACCCATGGTAAAGTAAAAGTAAAGCCCTACTCTGAAGTGACTCATTTTTCGGACAGTCTATTCACCCCCTAAAGGCCGTGGATGTTTCGGTGACCTTTTGACAGCAGGTGAAGATTCGCTGTACTCCTAGTGATTGTTGATGGTTACTACATGTTCAATCACCATAGATTTATAGATGGTATAAACTTACAATTCACAGTCATGGGTGGTTTATGGCATTGTTCTGCCCACAGTCATGGCACTTAATTCATTTAATTACTTTTTAAACGCCCCAACAAGATGCCGAAGAAGGATGAACATCACTAGAGTTTAAAGTGGGGTTTTACACATTTTCTACCTTTTGTGAGGTGGTTATAATCCACGTGAAGAAGATGTTGGCTGAATTGTGAACAGATCATCGTCCTAGCCATCAAAATGTTGTTGAAACAGAGACACACAACAAAAAAACGGTAGAATACTATACAAGTAGCATACACATAAAATATTATACATGTAAAACACATATTAGTTTTATTGTAAACTTTCTACATGTATTATTTGTTTTCCCCTATACAATGGGTGTTTTACCATCCATGGAACCCCCATGAAACCGCCAGGAATATGGTTGGCTTGATGCCGGCGCTGACGTACCTCCTGGGCGACTTGCAGCAGCGCGAGAGAGATCGTGGGGTGTGGGGGATCTACCTATGGATGTTGCGCCAAGAGATGTTGATTTCGGGGATTTGCCCAATGGATTAACTTTTTTTTTTAAACCAAATCCAAAGAATCCAAAGAACAGAGAGATTTCATGAGATTTCATGGGGATTCATAGGTGTGTTTTTTTGGATATCATGGGATTTTGAGTTTTTGGGGATTAACAGATCATGGTGATTTTCCGTGGGATTTTCCCATGGATGGTTGGGAGATTTACGAGTGATTTGATGGTGATTTTGCGATGAAAATTTGAGGGATTCAACATGATTGAACCATCAAATATATCACCAGATATATCCCTATAATAAGTGGTTGAATTCTATGGTTTATGGTAGGTATTAAACTATAGTTAATGGATGTTAATGGGGTTTACTATCTGGGTAAATTTGGTCACGACCGAAGCCTGTTCTCCCGAAGCCTAAAAAAATCCATGGTTTTTATGTTAGGGAAATCATCCCCTTTTATGGCAAGATGACCAGGTTAGTGAAATATTTTGGCCTTTACCCAGAACCATGGTGATGTCATGTTTTTTTTACCCGGTTATTCTGGTATGAGCCTAGGAATAGGTTTTGTTTTTGATATGAGAACCATTGGATTTTACAGTATTTTTACAGAGAATAGCGATTTAAACCTGCTGGAAGTTCCATTTGATTGACCAAAATGTACCATAGATTTTGGTAAATCAGCTGGTGATGCTGGTGATGTCATATCAAGCTGGTGAAAATGAAAAAACATATCCCAGAAAAGGTATTCCCATTATGATCCTCATAGTCCCATCCCAGCAATACCCTCTGGTAATTTGTTACAGTTCGCGAACTGGAAGCCATGGCCCAGTCGAAATATCCGATTTACCCATTGGTAGCATGGTGATTTGCGGATCTTTCCATCGTTTTTTGTTAACGTTTACCAGGCAGGGTATATGATATTGGTGTGTTCCCACAGAATTGTCATTGAAACCATCTTTCAATGGATTGGCTTAAGGGAAAAATTACAGGAAAGCCCTATATTTGGTAAAAACCATGGTTTCCTGTAGATTTTCCCTTAAACCAATCCATTGACATTGAAACCATCCAGCTGTTTGTCTATTTCTTTGCTGCTGAAAATTAAGCCTGTGCCACACATCCACCCAAGTCCATCGAGGATCGCCAGTAGTGGAGCGCTACGACTGGTTCATCAACTCCGAGTTGGATCACTTTCTGAGCCCCGCACCACGACCATTGCGGAGGGAGCGCGAGCGTTTTGGGAAGCGTTTCATGTGTTTTGTTTCCATGGTGTTTTGCAGGGTGAACGGTATTTGTTTCCACATTTAATATATTACATATAAAATAAACATAATATATATATATACACAATTAAAATTATATATATTAATGATAATAGTAATGATCATAATAATAATGACAACAATGACAGTAACAATAGCAATTTGTATGTATATAATTATATATAATACATGTTTCATGGATTCCATGAGGATGTTGGTTGATTTTCATGGGAGACTTAAAGTCGATGAGTTTATGGATAGTTTGGAAACAGGGGAAACTGGGGATTTTTTGTGGGATAGATGTAGCACATAATATGATATTTGAGAATGATACTTCAAAGAATGAGGGCCCACACATACAAAATTAGCCTGGTTGGTGGTGACTGGAACATGAATGGATTATGACTTTCCATTCAGTTGGGAATTTCATCATCCCAACTGACGAAGTCCATGATTTTTCAGAGGGGTGGCGAAAAAACACCAAGCAGTAGCCAGTAGGCCATTAAGATCGAAATATCCAGCATCGGTCATAGGGTCTTGTGGCCATTATCTAGTGGGGGTAAAATCAGAAACCGTGCCCCAACGTCACCATTTTTATAGGTGGTATAATAAACCATTCCTACAATGTGAGGCCCCCTAGATAGCTAAGTTGCCTTATAAGTAGCTTAACTATGGTTTATAGTAGATATAACTACAGTTAATGGGGTTTATAAACCAACTTATAACTGGGGGGCATCACATTGTAGTCATGGGTGGTTTATGACATTGTTTTAGCAACACTACTGCAAAGCCCAGGAGGGTTGAACATGGACCCAGAATAGGTTGATGCATGGTGCAGGTTTACTTTTATCTTCTACCAAACCCCTTTTGGTGGTCCCCAACATCCCTTCGAGAAAATCTTGGAAATAATACGGGGCAGAATCCCTTCCGCAAACAATACGATTCTGTTGGTTTAAAACTAGAATAACTAGTGTTGATATGGTTTTCTGGCAGATATATGATATGTCTATTCTTCCTGTAGGTCAACATCGGCCAAGAAACACAACTTGGGGGTCCCCACATTGCATTGGAACCATTCCCGCTGTCCCTGAACGAATCCTTTCTGCTGGTTAAGTTCTGATTTGGGTTGCTTAGCTCCCACTTGTTCACGAAAAACGCCTCCACCGGTGAATTCTTGTTGACTAAATTGCGATCTTCCAATAATTTGGGCTCCAGACGTAACCATCTATGACAGTTTGTGTCCATTTGATCCCATCGTTTCGCTTTGTTTTCCATACCGTAGCGCATACCAATCTTAAACCATCCTTCGTTCCCATGGTGGAGGCGGGAAGCATGGCCGAGCCGTGAACTTGCTGGGTAATTTTTCCGAGTTGCGCAGGCTGTACGCAGACGTGGCTGGCACCCTTCATGCCCGCTGTAGTGCCGGGACGCTCTGCCTTCACGGCTTCGCAGGATGCGTCAACAGCTGGCGGGACGCCGCCCGCAATTTCATGATCTGAAAAGTCGACCAAAAACCATCTGCTAAAGCTAGTTGGTTCAACCCACTCGGCCATTCGCTCCATTGTTGTTGCGCAGGGTGCGGACGTCTGGTGCCGTGGACAGTGAAACGTCCATTCTTGGTGGATAAGATGTATCACGTTTTAACCAAAATAAATCTACTTATTTCAACCAACTTTGGTATACATATATATATATATATCAAAGTATGTAATTATATATATATACAATTCCCCATGTTTCTTTGTTGAATAACATGTTTTAGTTGATTTTTTCACATGTGACATGTTTTTGTTGGCATTTTTTTCGACAGTTTCACCAGCCTTCGGCCAAGTGTTTTTAGGCACGTGCTCGGAGTACTATCAGTGCGTATGTGGAGCGCATTGACAAGCCAGAGGCGCGGACGGGAAACCAAGATAACCAAGTGGGTGAATGATGTGAATGCGTCATGATGGGCTCAATGTAGGGTTTCCCAGTGATGTTTGTTGCTTTGTAAAGCCGAGGGAATAGTATAGTTATTGTTGTATGGACCTGTGGGTTTATTTACATTGCAAATCTTGCGGAATACTATCTGGTAAACGTTTACATCGCGAATTGGAAAAAATCACCATTTTGGTCGGTAAATCGTCGAAGCAAATGGGCCTTGGCTTCTTTTAAGGGAGGCTATACCGAGCGCTGGGGGCAGCTGGTTAGTTCTATCCCCAAGCATGATTATATTGGGTTACCCGGTATTGGTAAACGTTTACATAACTATATGGGAAGATCCACCATGCTATTCATGGGAAAAGTCACAATTTTTCTATGGTGATTTTCTATATTTCCTTATGTAACAAATTACCAGGCCGGGTAATTCTAACCATGCGAACCAAATTCACAAGTTCTATACATCTAACGTCACATAACCCGATGGTCCATCGTTTAAAGGTCTAACGCTTTGACCAACATTTTTTTTCCAGGAACAACAAGGTGAATCTTAGATCTATCCAAAGACCATCAAACTCTGACCATGGCCCAAGGGCTGACGATTGAAGCCACATATTGAAGTTCTTTGGTACAGCCATTGGTTAAGTAGTGTGAATTTTCTGGCTGTATAGATGATCAGCATTGATTCGGATTGATTGTATACTGTTTTTGTTTACTTATTTCAATTTGCCATGGCCGTATTTCGGGTTGCCCTCCTTGCATTCGCAACATGATGATAATCATGGGATTTTGTGGTACCGTAATCTCTTTGAGAACCTCATAGGAGGTGGTGATTGATTGAAAGTTGGTTAGGTATATCATTCGAAATATCCATTAGAAACCCGCTAATTGTTAAAGTGCCAGACTCTGTTGGTGAAGCGATATTTCCTAATATAGTACCATTATGTACCATTTATAGAATCAGCAATCTGTAGGAGATGTTGCCAGGTTTTATTTTGAAACCACACATTATGAATTTGTACAACATGACAGCAGATTCCTGCCCAACGACAGGAGCAATCCATCATGCTGATGTGGGGCAATGCCTTTGTTTCTTGGAACCGCAAGCTTGGTAAACCTTGCTGTAAGCTGGTACAGACTTAGCTCTTGTAGGCTACATTAAAATTTGGTGAAACCCGATATTCATGGTCAAGATCCTATGTTTCTCCGCCATATCCATAAGAAAATTTGAAAATTGGGGAAAGCCCTACAGGATGGGGCCCCCCAATTATACGTTGGTTTATAAACAATTATAATCCCCATTAACTATAAATATATCTACCATAAACCATAGCTAAACCACTTTTTTTAACCAACTTAGCTATCTTGGGGGCCCCATCTTGTATGTTCAGCCAACTTCTATGGTCAATATTATTGAAATTCACATCGCATCCAATGTACTGTGAGACATTGGATTTGCATCGGGTGATGTGACTTCCCATTGGGCCTCGACTATGATGGGCGAATCTGCTACAATTACGGCTTGGTGGTTTGGAACATTGGTGAAATGTATGGGATAATGATGATTAATGATGGTTAATAATGGTTAATAATCTCTGGTTGGTGGTTTGGAACATGATTTTATTTTCCATATATTGGGAATAATGATCCCAACTGACGAACTCATATTTTTCAGAGGGGTGGCTCAACCACCAACCAGATTATGCTTTCACTGTTCATTACTTTTCATGGTCGCTGTAAGCAAGTCCAAGCATACTCTGTTGAAAGCCAGGTAATTCTTAGGCTCTCCCCCTACAAGTGGGCTTATAAACTTTGACGTCGGAGGAAGCGCTGGGCAGTATAAATAGGCATTCGTCAGAAACGTTTCTTAGCTCTGATTGCACGGTAGTTTTTCCGGCAATCATAGAAATTTTCCCTTTCCAATCCCTGATGTTTTAAATCGGCGCCTCGGTGTTTTTTCTTCCCATTGCCGTATGTTTCTTCCACGACACCGGGGGTATCTAACCACAGTGATATGCGTAGCTAAGCGGCTTCCCCGGAGAACTTTGGAGGAGACCTTTATCGCGACTGGCTGTCTGCCATATCTTTGAAGAATATATGATATATGAAGAATAAAAAGGACGTTTCCTAAAATGGGGGTACCCCCAAATGGTTGGTTTATAATGGAAAGTCCTATTAAAATGGATGATTTGGGGGTACCCCTATTTTAGAACACTTCCAAATCAAGGAAATTGAAGTAGTAACTAAGCAGAAGGGGAACACTGGAAAAATGCCACGGTATCATACTTGACTGGGATATACTAATAGTGATCATTGCTGCTTTTACATTGCTGCTGGTACAATGCATGTTATCAATATTTCAAGCACCAGGACTGCAACATAGATAGATAGATATATATATATATATATAGATAGATAGATAGATAGATAGATAGATAGATAGCTAGATAGCTAGATAGCTAGATAGGTAGATAGGTAGATAGGTAGATAGGTAGATAGGTAGATAGGTAGGTGGGTAGGTAGGTAGACAGACAGACAGACGACAGACAGACAGACAGACAGACAGACAGACAGACAGCCAGCCAGCCAGCCAGCCAGCCAGCCAGCCAGCCAGGCAGGCAGGCAGGCAGGCAGGCAGGCAGACAGACAGACAGACAGATATACACCAATATCTCTCTGTAAAGTGCAACAAAAACAGGGGCGCAGACGTGGCCTTGTAGCATGCCAATGTACTTTGATGAGCGCCACCTGGCATTTCTTCTCAGTCCATGGAACTCGGCTACTTGCAGAGCATCGGCCTGTTGTCCTTCGGACAGGCTCAGGTGTTCAGATGGATCTGTTGTGAGTTGGTGCACCTTTGACAATGAATTGGGAACTGATGATTATGCAGATGGTCTTGCAACGCTGAGAAATGTGGTGAAGATTCCACAAAGGATGCGGGCCAAGAGCCACCAGATGCGGGCCAAGAAAAAAGGCCGAATGCCAACAGAATTTGTACATGTGGCAAATCCACTTTATAATTATTTGAGTTCCTACTTGTGATTATTTGACTACATAAAGTGATTTTCAGGAAGATCGTCCTAACAACCCTGATAAACGGATATATTTGATAATTGATGTTAGATAAGTCCAAACATAAAATAACGGTAAAGCACACATTTAAGGAACACTAAAATCGTTCAAATGCTGGTGTCACCTATGGGGTTGTCATGACTGTCTAGAGACTGTTGCCAAGTGGTTCGACTGTAAATACTTACAACTTTACCGTATGATGATAAGTTCTAGCTTGTAACTGTTAAGCTAAAACTACTCATTATTCATTACTATTGGTTCACTTTTGGTTTGAATCCTTGCTCATCATCATACAGTGTTAGTGCTCAATCATACTGAATACTGTTCTTTAATAGTTTGTTTTATTTTCATAAGCAACAACTGTTTTATCTACACATAACGTGTTGCTCAAAACGTTTTGTTGTATCGTGCACGAATAGCTGGGCTTCTCTCCAGAAAGGCATCCCTTGTGGGGAAGGGACGTGGGAACCGAAGTGCATGAAATTGACCAACAGAAACCCACCCTGGCCCTGGCCCCCTGACCTTGCAGTTTTTTCACTTTAGCCATCCCATAGGGAATCTCCTAAGCAGCTGACAGCGAACAAAATCCGACTTTTTTTCCCATGGAAATCCCCATCAAGTCCCATGAAATCCCAGTAAATCCCATGAAATCACTATTAACTAGGTCAATCGACTGGATGGGTACTTTACTCCTTTAGTCTTTTGGATCTTTTGGTATCTTTTGGTATCAATGGGTTTATCTACGTTCACCAGCTAAGAATTTATTTTTTTGCAGGGTATCTGGTTGATTGGCCATGTTAAAATGTCATTCAATCACCCTAAAAAAACACCAATATCACCAATAAATTGTTATTCTAGTATGTGGTTAAGAAACTCTTGGTAGCTCCTTAGCTCCCTTTTTAATAGGGAATATGAATACCCATAGCTCCTTAGCTCCCTCCTAACCACTGGATAATATGTCTAGTTTTTCTGGTACCCATTCTGAATGCCAGATGTTGCTCCGACCGAGGTTTTTAACCGCAAGCTTCTGCAGGACATGCGGAAGCATTGGGAGAAATTAGGCCTGGAGACCGCGTCCGCCAGAGTTTGTTGTTGGGTGAACAGCTGGGGTTCAACATCTTGGGATGTGCCCATAACAAACTTCAGTTGCGATTGGGTTTTCATGGTAGTTATATGCATGTAGATATATGTAGATATATCTATAATGTGGGTAAACAAATGTCATAAACCAGCCATGACTGGGAACAAACGGAGAAGGAGACTTGGAGAATCTATATATTCTGGTTGGTGGTTTGGAACATGGCTTTTATGACCTTCCATATATTGGGAAAAATAGCCCCAACTGACGAACTCATATTTTTCAGAGGGGTGGCTGAACCACCAACCAGCTAAGGTTTATGGTAGATATATGTAGATAATAATATCTACAATGTGGGTAAAAGAATGTCATAAACCAGCCATGACTGGGAATGGTAAACATACCAGCTATGTAAGGTGATGACTGGGGGCTGGTGTCTTTTATTGTTTTACCCTCACACAGTGAGAGGGAAACCACCTCGTATTTTCATGGGACATGAATGGAATATGAATGGGTTTCTTGGGTTTCTAT